ACTGCACACTAATAGTTGACTTTTCCGAGCTTCTGCGCGTGGCGTTTTTCAGCTTTGTGATTGGTTAACTCACCCGGCCATGACGATAAACAGGTCAAGGCGGTTCCAGGTGTCTCCAAGGTAACATTTGGGACCGAACACTCCCAAGGCCACCATTTTAACCACCATCTCCACAGCGAAAAATGCAAAGATGAAGTCATCGAACGCCTGCGGAGAGAACAAGCACAGAAGAGCTGCTCGTGAACTCATTCAAACGCTGCATTTAAAGAGATCACCCAAAATTTGCAGTTTAGTCACTTTTCCTAGTTTTACACTTAAAGAATGATGTTAGCTGTTTGTTCAAGTCTACTTATTTAAACTGAGCTGAATCAACTCAATTCTTGGTTGTTTTTTTCAGGGCTACTTAAATGTTTAAACTCAATCTAATTAAATTTGTAAAAACAATTAAGTTAGGGGAGAGCGGGGACGAAAGTACCATTTAAAAAAAAAACTAATTTTAAAAGAGAATGTTTTTGGCAGAAATATATTTTTGTTGTGCTTAAAAACTCACAAGAGTGGTCTATCAAAATCAGGTGTTGTTTTGATGTAGAACAACGCCAATATAACTTCACTTTCAAGAGTTTACACTTAGCTGATGATTGATTATAAAGCTTGTTTGGCATGCTGTCCCAGGAGAGAGCCCTGAGCTCATAAGATCCTCGAGCCCGAGGCTCATTCCCGTTTGCAGGGTGAGAGGGGAGTTTGAGCTCAGGTTGATCTGGAGAACTCCCCTGCTGTAGTAGCTAATGAACAGGTAGTGATTGCTCTTAAGAAATAACTTCTTACTAGGAGCATGTCTATAGTGCCGGATTAGTCCATTAAACTTAAGTTGCATGTTTTTGGACGGTGGAAGGAAACTGGGGAACCTGGGGGAAACCCACGTGAGCACGGCGAGAATGTGTAAACTATGCACAGAAGCGTCGGCTGGCTTGGTAAGGACTAGAACCAGTGATGTTCTTACTGTGAGGCAACAGTGCTAACCACTGAGGAGGAGAAGGAGAAGGAGGAGTAGCGGTGTAAGAGAGGATTCTTTAAAACGAAGATGGCTGTTATATGGAACTTAGGGTATTTATAGTGGTTTAGGAATCTTCTGATTTGTGAATCATACATTGAATAATGTGGGACCAGCCGCAAGAAATCATAATCATGTGATCCCCTCCAAATTTGTTTATAAATAAACTTTACTTAAACAAAAGTTGCACTAGGTTACTTTTGACACCGTCAGCAGAAGGCATCGGGTGATAACCGGTTTCAAGATTTACTGCGGTTTGGAAAAGCCATGGTATTAAAACCGCAAACATATTTTGTTATACTGTTTTTAGGGTATATGGTTTTTTATGTGTTGTAAGGAAATCTGTGTTTTTGAAACTAACGAAGATAGTAGAAGTCAACGGTTTATTTTAATTATGTAGCCTGACATGTTTACTGCTCCAAAATATTATAAATGTTTTCTGTAATATATCAAGAGTTTAGATGCATAAACCTCTCAATGCTGTCTGAAATTTTTCTTTAAAATTAGTATTTTCATGAAGCTCCTGTGTATAATAAGTTATGTGTAAGAATAAGTTATTTTCCTGCATTTTAAAGTAAAATAACTCAACATAAATAAAGGAGGCTGAGAAAAATTTTCTATAGAAATTTCAGACGGCACTTAGAGGTTTTTGCATCTGAACTCTTCATATTGTGTTAGAGTGAAGTTTGTGAAAGTTTTTTTACTAAGAATTTTAAAGATAAATTATTTTACAGCAGTAAACACAATAGCATGAATCCGTGAAACCGTGATATTTTTATTCAAGGCTATCATACCGTCAGAAACTTAGACCAGCCCATGCATAGTCAGCAGGGACGAAAGTAAAACACCAGTGGGTCAAAAGTAACACAATAGTATTTGCTAGATTTGCTGGCTTATATTTGTTTATTTTAAATTTATCTGACTATGATCTTGTTAATGTTAACAGTAAACATATTTTGGCATTTTCATTTTAAATTTCAGCTCCATCAATTGTTTCAAAAGCAATCCAACAATGCAATATGTTAACATTTTGTACTAATTCTAATTTTTTTTTTTTTTTGTATTTTTTATTATTATCGGCAATATGCATTAATCTAAATTATCTAAGTGAAAACACTGAAAACTCTAATATGGAAGTGAAATATAAGGCATGGCTATTAGCAGTGGGACATAAATAACAGTGTTATGCTGCAGTCACACTAGAGTTTGAGCATGCGAAATTCTGTTGTACGGAGCTGCGAAAAGCGTCAGGATTAAACAAGATGATTATGTGGATTATGTGGATGATGTCCACATTTTTAATTTCTGTCCAAAGAGGTCATGTTTTGATCCTCGATTGGTCTCACGCAATTATATGATGTGATTTTGCAGGTCAGAGTTACCAAGCTTGAACTTTCCAATACAGCAAACTGCAAAAACTTGCCGCATGACTAGGCCCGCACGGAATCTGCGCGCGCAGAATTCCGCAGATTATCCACAGAATTCCACAGATTTTTAGGCCATTATTAATTCTGTTTATTTACTTGAGTAAATGTGTAAATCTGAATTTATTCAGTTTTTATTCAGTAATTTATTACTCTTTATTTCATATATTAAGGTTATAATAAGTTATGATACTCCGCTGGATACTCAAGTCCTAGCTGGGCCAATTGGCACTTCTGTGTGCAGTTTGCATGCTCTTCCTATGTTCGCATGGGTTTCCTCTGGGTGTTCCGGTTTTCCACACAGTCCAAAAACATCCACTATAGGTATATTGGATGAACTAAATGGGCCGGAGTGTGTGTGTGTGTGTGTGTGAATGTGAGTGTGTATTGGTGTTTCCCAGTAATGGGTTGTGACTGGAAGGGCATCCGTGCATAAAAGAATAGTTTGGTGGTTCATTTCGATGTGGTGACCCCTGATATATAAGGCACTAAGCCGAAGGAAACATTACAGATATTTTTATAGATCGATATTAAACCATCTAACAAAATTTAAATGCAAGTGGCATATGCAAATTAATGATCTTACTTTTCGGAGGCAATTTTTTTTTTATCACTTACTTTGAGTTAAGTGGTCCCAGAGTGATCATTAGGGATATTAGATGTCAGTTGCCTCGGGTTCACACAGATGTCCTAGCAGACTAACCACAGGATTTCTCTCTTAATTGATCTCATCTAAAGCAAAGCTTGAGCCCAAAATTCCCTGCCTTCGAAAGCACTTTTCTAGACAATTTCTGTCATACAGCAAATGCATGCTGCGAGTAATATTCCTGTTATTATGCAGAATCCACAGGTTATTTGTGAAGTTGATGTGGAGAGATTAAAGAAGTGTATTTTTCAGAGTCTGCAGCTGATGTTCATGGTTTTGCTTATGGCTGTCAATCACATCACAGTTCACTGACGTCTGTCTGGGATGAGGATAAATGCTTTTGTGGCTGTAGTTAGAACTGTATGATTGAGAATTATGATTATCTGTTTTATTTATTTATTTTATTTATTATTTTTTTATTTCTCTTATTTTTCATTACTCTGATTAGACACGCAAACAAACAACATCATTTACTGGAGATTTGGAAACAGTCTATTTTTGAATAATTAATTACAATGATTTTTCATTAACTAATTAAGACTTGTTTTATTACTGGATGAATTTGCATATTTTAACATTGAATTTCATAGTGCATTTTGTACTTTTGACTATTGGAATTTAGGCGTTAGAATAGGGCTGTGTGATTTAGGGAAAATATCTAATTTCTAAGCCAATGGAAAAGTCATTGTTTTTTTGTTTAGTTTTTTTTTTCCCCAGGATAACAGGGGTGATGTAAACTTTCAGACTGGCCAACAAAAATGTCATCACTTCATTGTAATGCAGTTTAAAAATGTCTTTTGTTTGCTTTTTACAAACCCCATGTGTTTAATATTTTATTTTGTTTATTCACCTCAACATTTTAAATATGTCTTAAATGTCTATTTCTTTAAGCCATTGTATTTATTTATGTTTACACGAACACACATGCATATAACACACACACATGCATTCAATAAAATACACAACTTTTTGCCCCTAAGCCAATCACAACAGCATGAAAAATTAGAATCACAAAAATCAGTGTATTTTAAAAATGTGGTTCTGTGCATGTTTTCGTGACATATCAAGACACAAATGTGTATAATAACATGGGTATGACATACACAGTAAAAATAACCTTAAATTAGCAGTTTTCTGTATTTTTCATTCATGTTTTGATCACTTTCCCCCATTTATTTATGCTTTTAATAATTTTTAACCTTGAAAAGTTTAAAAAAGTGACTTTTATTAACATTTTTAATAATAAAGTGATATATTGTCTGGATGGGTGTTGTATATTACGCTACAAAAACCTTACAAAAATCAAAAGTACATTATCTGTTATTTTACAGACTTATTCCTCTATGTTTTTATATATGAAACTAATTCAACCTACTAACATGTCAATAAGTCACTTTGTTAAACTGTAGAGTTGAATTTTCAACATGAAAAGACGACAGAGCAGAGATCAAGCTCCCATAATGCAATTCTCAACCGTAAATAATCGGAAAACACTTGAGAAGCACAAAATACAGACACTGTTCATTAACAGATGTAGGTATAACAAGGAGATGTTGACTTATTAGGACATTGCCCATGAGCCCATTTTATTCAAAAGGCAAATAAATCCTACAGAATGGTTTTTATCATGAGATTGGGGGGGTTCAATAGAAAACAGTTTGTACAGTATAAAAACATTTGAATCCTAAGGAATGTCCCCACAATTTGCATTTTGTGTATGTGTGTGTGTGTGTGTGTGTGTTACCTGCAGGATGCTGCAGCGGTCCGTGTGGCACTCCAGGTCTTGGCAGGGCTGAAACATGCCGAGTGTGACGCAGTTGAGCAGAATCACCAGCATGCTGACCCGCTCAAACCATGTAGAGCTCCAGTTAAGGACAATACTCACAAATCACAAAACACAAGCAAACACTCACCAAGGCTGTATAAAGAAAGACTACATATAAAGTATGAGGAGAAATATTATTGCTATAAAGTGCTTCCATTTATTGTAATGTACTGTCATTTATTCATGTAATGTATCGGTTACCACTCTGGTCTCGAATGTCAGCATGATCCTTCAGAAATCATTCTGCTATGTTGATTTGCTGCTCAACAAACATTTATTTTAAAGTATCAAAGCTGAAAACAGTTATCCAGCTTCTTTGTTTGTTTGAAAGTTCAGTGTAAAGTTCAGTCTTTCGTTTCACTTTCACTCAATAATTTTCCTTAGGCATAGGGTTCTATTTTGACGATCCATGTGCAAAGTGCAAAGCACAGGGTGCAAAAGCAATAAGGGCGTGTCAGAATCCACTTTTGCTAATTTAAGGATAAAAAAATATCAGATTTGCGCCGTAGTGCATGGTCTAAAAGGGTTGAGCTTATTTTCTTAATGAGTTGTGTTTTGAGAATAAACCAATCAAGAGTCTCATTTCCCATTCCCTTTAAGAGCCAGTTGCATTGCACCATAGCGCATTTGCTATTTACATGACGAACTTTGTAGGTGGAAAAACTGAGCATTTCACTAGTAAGAAAACAGTTAAACAGAGCATCTGCAGCGCGAGAATGAGATAATTAGCCTCCTCATTCTTTACTTTCACTTTCACTCTCGTGGATAGGGAAACGTGGTGTACGCAAAGACATCAATTAGCCTATAAATAATTAATTTTGTTTGTTTCATCTTTGCTGCAGAATTCAGTCCCAACCCTGATCAAACACACCTGAACCAATTAATAGTACCTAAAGCAGCAGTTGATAATTACAAACAGGTGTGTTTGGTCAGGGTTGCAACTAAAATCTGCAGGAAGGTAGCTCTCCAGGAACAGGGTTGGTGACCCCTGCTTTGGACTGTGGGGGAAACCGGTGCACCCCGAAGAAACCCACATGAACGCATGGGAGAACATGCAAACTCCACACAAGCGCAAAGATTTGTTTCAAAACCATTTCTAAATTAGGTTATAATTTCCAGCAAACGAATAAATGAATATTAATTACAAAGTGTGTTCAAACAACTGAGTTATATAATTGCACCGCATTGTGCCAGGTGTATGATAGGCTCCATAGTCTCTATTTTAGCCTCCCAGGGCTTAGTGGCCACATACATGAACAGCACATTTTAGCTCTTAAGTGGCTATTTAAAATTCTTTGGATGTTTTATACTTTGTTACAGAAATACAGTGTCATCTTGCAACTGTTTTGCAGCATATGAAATGTCCTAAATACAATTTTTAACTGTCTTAAATGGAAAAAAAATGTTGTTTTTACTCTCTGATAGTCCAAGCAAGTAAAAAAAAAAAAACTATGTTCAATGTGCATTACAAACAGTCAGGAAAAAATGTTTTATGTAAATTTGAACCAAGAGTCCACATATATGGACATAATTTTTCTCTAAAAGTACATCATATCAAAAGGTGATACTTCCGTTTTATTCTAATTAGGTTCCAATAAGCCCAAATAGCAAAGAGAAATAAAAATGCATGTAAAAAAAACGGATGTATCTGTTCTCAACTGTTGAGAACAGATAAAACAGAACAAAATATAGCTTAGAAAAGCAGAATAAAATCATATAATTTCAGTATATGAACTTCATGCTTGGACAACTTGCTTCTTAACACTTACTCCACAGCACTGTATGCTCTTACTGCTATATTTCGCCATCAACAACAGGATAGAAAAGAATCGCTTTTTAAACACAGAGCTTAGAAAAATCAAGTGGTGAAATAGATGGAGCTAAGCATGAATAATGTAGGACATTTGTAGATAAATAATTGATTTTGTTCTCAAGAAGGCTAAAATAATAGAATTCAAATCACATTAAAAGCCATCCATAATGCCTGTTTTAATAAAGCCTTCCTTTAATACGCTCAGCTCCTGTTTGTGATCATAATACATATAATAAAATGCAATAAGGCTACTGTGTTTTCATATGGGTGTAATTAAAAAACTGCATTAGACTTTTCAGATTACAGCGCAGTGATCCCCACACATACAGTACAGTACCTGCCGCTAAGTCAGCCCCACAGGCACAGCATTCAGACCAAACACCATACCTCATTAATCATAAAGAGCTCGCAGCAACACACCATCTCAATCACCACTGTAAATCCTGCTGTTATCCTCATTTCCACCACACCTCATTTACCAGCCAATCAGGATTTAAAGATCATCTATTAAGCCACTTTTTACATGTAGTACTGTTCTTGAGTATACACAATGTGTCAGCCCAAAATAACCCAAAAATCATCTGTCATAACATGGTCAAATGGGGATTTTTTGTTAAAAAAGGGTTGTTTGTGTGTGTATCACTTTAAAGGAGACCTATAATGCCCCTTTTTACAAGATGTAAAATAAGTCTCTGATGTCTCTAGAGAGTGTTTGTGAAATCTCTTTGAAACTGCCCCTTTTGGGCTTTGATCCTAATTGTGCAATTTTGGTGACTGTCACTTTAAATTCAAATTGTGCTCTTTTCAATGGAAGGCGGAGCTCCAAATGCCTATGTGTCAGCATAGTGGCGGATTCAAAAACACGACTAACTTTGTATGCTAATGAGAGAGAGAGATTGTCACTAATTGGCTGGGCTTTCCCCCTTTGATGGCACCTATAAAGCGATACTGTCTGTACAGTCTGATCTGCAGACTGTATTTATCAAGTGTGATTATAAAGAAATAAAATTAATCAATTTGTACCATTAGAAGCTGGATATATTCACAGACTGTTGCCACATAACTGTGTTTTTGCATAAAAAGGTATCCTTTAAATGCAAATGAGCTGCATATTCCTGCCCTGTCTTCAGAAGTGGATGTAGTCTATAGGAGATTTACCAGTTTGTAAACATTTAGGATGCTCAAGAATAATGGTTTCAGAGAAAGTTATTAACGGCTAAGAATTAAATAGTTTATAAAAGATTAATTTGATTTAACATTTAAAATTCTGACTTTATTTTTGCAATTCGGAATTTATATCTTACAATAGTTATAAGAAAAAACAACTCTATTCTTTAGATATTTTTTTCTGTTAATCGTCTACAATTAGCTTTAAATGCCACCTTTGAAGACTGGTGGTGGATGAGGAGATTCTCCCAAACATGTGTAACCCTCTTTGAGCACCCAGAAAAGCACTATAGAAATGTAATCTATATTATTATTATTATTATTTTATTGTTGTTATTCTAAGGTTTGTCTGCAACTTCCTTCAACACACCTCCCTGGAAGTTTCTAGTATACCCAGAAAGGCCTTGGTTAGCTGGTTCAGGTGTGTTTAATTGTGGTTGGAACTAAAATATGCAGGACACCGGCCCTCCAGAACTGTGTTTGGACACCCCTGGTCTATACACATATGCTGCGCATACTTCCATACTATATAGTACGCTAAAATCAATATGCGAGCTGAGTAGTATGTCCGAATTCATAGAATTCGAAAATCATTATGCGAGAAGTACCCGGTTGACTTGCTACTTCCGGCGAGATTCTGGAGTGCGCATCCCATGCATGCTGCGCTATCCCATGATGCCCCGCGAGCGAATTCATGAATGAGAGTAAAGCGACGCAACTGACGCAGGTAGGTCACGTGACTATGACAAAATGGCGGATGTAGTACGTTGAATTCCATTCAGTAATTCATACTGTATAGACCGTCCTTTTCTAACGGCTAAGTAGTATGTTTAAATTCAAAAGCAGCACCTACTGAGTAGTAGGCGGTTTCGGACGCAGCTATTCACCTTATTCTCAGCTGACGAGCGGGCGCTGCCATTTGAATCTTTTTGTCTCGCGACTTCCGGTCACATTCACTTCCATTCATTTTTTGACGTTAACAACTGCTCGTTACGCTGCTTGATGTTGCAATTTAATATTTTCTTATTATATTATGCTACTTGGTCTGTGTAGTCATGCAAACATTTGTTTGTTGAGCAAGTAGTTTGGTCATTTTCTGCCGTTTATTATTCCTAGTAATTTCTCCCATAGGCGACTGAATCGGAAGTTCTAAGACAATCGCGAAAACAGGCGCACTTCCGCATTTTAGAATAAGGTCAATAGTCTCTGCATACCTGTAATGTAAAATAATTGTCATTACAGCCTTTACCAGTTTTTGTATTTGTGTTCATGGATTTATTGACACTTTTAAATTCATTAAGGGAACTTGGTCTTTGTACCGTGACATTTTAATGTTGAAAATGTAACTCTCCAAATTACCCTTAAAGACATTTGCTGCATCCTAATTTGCATCCATAAGTCACACGAAAAAAAAATTGTGTTCTAAATCAAGTATGTTTAAATGAGCATACCAAAGTTACCTGGGTTGTCTGTTATTTACAGTTAAAATCTGAAGTACAGATTTGTGCACACAACTACAAAAAGCAAGCAAAAACTACAAAAACAGTGAATGTGCGAGACTGATGGTTAACGCCACAGTCACGCGGTGACAAAGTTTAAGCAAGCAAAATTCTTTTGGATGATACTGTGAAAAGGGGTGCCATTAATCAAGATAATGCGACACTGATAAAACAAGTGATTGTCTGATGCATTTCCATGTCTAGAAACTAAAGACAATGGGGAAAAACATGTAGTGACCACGGCTTTAGTGTAGAGGCATCAATTGTTTTCGATATAGCTGCTCAAGTTCAGAGCAGATACATTACAAACCAACTCAATGCAGCTACAATAATGCAGAACTGTCAGTCATTGGTCGTGAGCAGGGCCGGAGTGGGACTCCTTTTCAGCCCTGGAGTTTCAAGCCTTAGACCGGCCCACCTCAATTCACGACCGTCTATATTAAAATAACGTAATTTCCAATTCAGTTTGTAATGACACTACCACGTCTTTTTCAAGAAAACAGCTGCTTTAAGACTCCAAATGTTCAACAACCCTAACAATATTATATGTCTTAACAATAAAAAAAATGTAAAAA